AATATTTCAGTTATATGATGGCGGTTTGTAAATAATGGAGTCCGGACCAGACAATCTTGTGATCAACATCATGATCATCGATCTGCGCAATTGGGAACCGATGACATGTGTCAACCAAGCCAGCGAGCCTGACCACCTGATCCCGTTAGTCGCCTCTTACGACAAGCATGGGTTGCTGAAGGTTCATTCTAAGCCACACCTTCACGGGTTCTAGGTTGATGCATTTCATCATATGGGTAGATCGGTGCAGTGTGACGTCAGTGACTGGTTTGTTTTGTGCAGTACGGACATTAACAGAGCGCCATCATGTAGTTGGAATATTGGTGAGTACAGCATTAAACAACGACCGGTGTAAGTATCCATGAGCTGCCTGTATTTGCGTACCGCCTCCGTGGTGTAGTGGTTAGAGCGTCCGCCCTGAAAGCGGAAAGTCGTGGGTTCGATCCACGGCCGCGTCATACAAAAAGACGTTAAAATATGGTACTTGTTGGTCCCTACTGACGCTCTGCGTTAATGGGTACAACAAGGACTGGTGGTCTTGGAGTCGCCCGCCGTGATGTTACTGGAATATTGCTAAAAGCGGCGTAAAACCATACTCAGTCAGTCGTCTTGGAGTCAGTATAATGTTTTCTGAGTGGAGTATTCATGCTTAACTGGGGCATGGTATCTCAATGAGCTAGCACTATAAAACCAGCTTAAGTCTGGGCTAGTACATACAGCCATACGTACACACGCATGCACGTCGTCATATGAGCGAAATATTAAGTACGACGTTAAACCCCATTTCACTTCACCTCACCTTACCTCACCTGTATTTCGGTTGGCGACAGAATACTGTCAGAATAATTTCTTTGAAAGAAAGTTCTAAATATTTTTCAAACCGACAAAAACATCATTTTCACGAACGCCCACCTACACTGATCTGTAATCTAAATAAAAATGATCACACGTGTACTATGCCTATCTTAACTGTGGCGATTGAGGTAGTTATAATCTAAGAAAAAATAATCACCACTGCTCATAACAGTATATTTATTACAAATTACAAATCACTACCATCTGCAATGAGAACAATGGCTACTCTGGTCGCAATCTCCTGAAACAGTCATTGTTGTATGACGTGTACACTGTAATGTAAAACATACATTGTTGTATGACGTGTACACTGTAATGTAAACAGTCATTGTTGTATGACGTGTACACTGTAATGTAAACAGTCATTGTTGTATGACGTGTACACTGTAATGTAAAACATACATTGTTGTATGACGTGTACACTGTAATGTAAAACATACATTGTTGTATGACGTGTACACTGTAATGTAAAACATACATTGTTGTATGACGTGTACACTGTAATGTACACATTCATTGTTGTATGACTTGTACACTGTAATGTAAACATTCATTGTTGTATGACGTGTACACTGTAATGTAAAACATACATTGTTGTATGACGTGTACACTGTAATGTAAAACATACATTGTTGTATGACGTGTACACTGTAATGTAAACAGTAATTGTTGTATGACGTGTACACTGTAATGTAAAACATACATTGTTGTATGACGTGTACACTGTAATGTAAACAGTCATTGTTGTATGACGTGTACACTGTAATGTAAAACATACATTGTTGTATGACGTGTACACTGTAATGTAAAACATACATTGTTGTATGACGTGTACTCTGTAATGTAAAACATACATTGTTGTATGACGTGTACACTGTAATGTAAAACATACATTGTTGTATGACGTGTACACTGTAATGTACACATTCATTGTTGTATGACTTGTACACTGTAATGTAAACATTCATTGTTGTATGACGTGTACACTGTAATGTAAAACATACATTGTTGTATGACGTGTACACTGTAATGTAAAACATACATTGTTGTATGACGTGTACACTGTAATGTAAACAGTCATTGTTGTATGACGTGTACACTGTAATGTAAAACATACATTGTTGTATGACGTGTACACTGTAATGTAAAACATACATTGTTGTATGACGTGTACACTGTAATGTAAAACATACATTGTTGTATGACGTGTACACTGTAATGTAAAACATACATTGTTGTATGACGTGTACACTGTAATGTAAAACATACATTGTTGTATGACGTGTACACTGTAATGTAAACATTCATTGTTGTATGACTTGTACACTGTAATGTAAAACATACATTGTTGTATGACGTGTACACAGTAATGTAAAACATTCATTCTTGTATGACGTGTACACAGTAATGTTAAACATTCATTCTTGTATGACGTGTACACAGTAATGTTAAACATTCATTGTTGTATGACGTGTACACTGTAATGTAAACATTCATTCTTGTATGACGTGTACACAGTAATGTTAAACATTCATTCTTGTATGACGTGTACACAGTAATGTTAAACATTCATTGTTGTATGACGTGTACACTGTAATGTAAACATTCATTCTTGTATGACGTGTACACAGTAATGTTAAACATTCATTCTTGTATGACGTGTACACAGTAATGTTAAACATTCATTGTTGTATGACGTGTACACTGTAATGTAAACATTCATTCTTGTATGACGTGTACACAGTAATGTTAAACATTCATTCTTGTATGACGTGTACACAGTAATGTTAAACATTCATTGTTGTATGACGTGTACACTGTAATGTAAACATTCATTCTTGTATGACGTGTACACAGTAATGTTAAACATTCATTCTTGTATGACGTGTACACAGTAATGTTAAACATTCATTGTTGTATGGCGTGTACACAGTAATGTTAAACATTCATTGTTGTATGACGTGTACACTGTAATGTAAGCATTCATTGTTGTATGACGTGTACACTGTAATGTAAAACATTCATTGTTGTATGACGTGTACACTGTAATGTAAACATTCATTGTTGTATGACGTGTACACTGTAATGTAAACATTCATTGTTGTATAACGTGTACACTGTAATGTTAAACATTCATTGTTGTATGACGTGTACACTGTAATGTTAAACATTCATTGTTGTATGACGTGTACACAGTAATGTTAAACATTCATTGTTGTATGACATGTACACTGTAATGTAAACATTCATTGTTGTATGACGTGTACACTGTAATGTAAAACATACATTGTTGTATGACGTGTACACTGCAATGTAAAACAGTCATTGTTGTATGACATGTACACTGTAATGTCTCACGATACCTGAACCATATCATAAGGATAAACACCTTCGCTCTAGTGACCTAGCCTGTCTCACGGTACCTGAACTATATCATAAGGATAAACACCTTGGCTCTAGTGACCTAGCCTGTCTCACGGTAACCAGAACCATATCATAAGGATAAACGCCTTGGCTCTATTGACCTAGCCTGTCTCACGGTACCTGAACCATATCATAAGGATAAACACCTTGGCTCTATTGACCTAGCCTGTCTCACGGTACCTGAACCATATCATAAGGATAAACACCTTGGCTCTAGTGACCTAGCCTGTGTCATGGTACCTGAACCATATCATAAGGATAAACAACTTGGCTCTAGTGACCTAGCCTGTCTCACGGTAACCAGAACCATATCATAAGGATGAACGCCTTGGCTCTATTGACCTAGCCTGTCTCACGGTACCTGAACCATATCATAAGGATAAATACCTTGGCTCTAGTGACCTAGCCTGTCTCACGGTACCTGAACCATATCATAAGGATAAACACCTTGGTTCCAGTGACCTAGCCTGTCTCACGGTACCTTAACCATATCATAAGGATACACACCTTGGATCTAGTGACCTGGTCTGTTTCACCGTACCTGAACGATATCATAAGGATAAACGCCTTGGCTCTATTGACCTAGTTCGTCTCACGGTACCTGAACCATATCATAAGGATAAACAGCTTGGACTCTAGTGACCTAGCCTGTCTCACGGCACCTGAACCATATCATAAGGATACACGCCTTGGCTCTATTGACCTAGTTCGTCTCACGGTACCTGAACCATATTATAAGGATAAACAGCTTGGCCCTATTGACCTAGCCTGTCTCCCGGTACCTGAACCATATCATAAGGATAAACGCCTTGGCTCTATTGACCTAGTCTGTCTCACGGTACCTGAAGTATATCATAAGGATAAATACCTTGGCTCTATTGACCTAGCCTGTCTCACGGTACCTGAACCATATCATAAGGATACACACCTTGGCTCTATTGACCTAGCCTGTCTCACGGCACCTGAACCATATCATAAGGATAAACACCTTGGCTCTATTGACCTAGTCTTTCTCACGGTACCTGAACCATATCATAAGGATAAACACCTTGGCTCTATTGACCTAATCTGTCTCACGGTACCTGAACCATAGGTTTATAAACTAGTCATATTTCCTTCTACAAAGACCGTTAAGTAGTGAAAAGGACCAATTTGGGGAAACAATACCAAAATTGTATATGTTCAGAGACTAAGCGAACTGGCTTCGTTTTGGGAATTAACACCCTCGTCGCTGCAGGCTCTTGCTGAGCACAGAGTTTCCCCAGAGTTAAAATAATATTTATTGATTCCCAGTGTATTTTGCAGGAAGTTAGTTGGTTGTATTCTTTAACGCCGCACTCAGCAATGTCTCAGCTATATGGCGGCGGTCTATCAACAACAGAGTCTTGACCAGATAATCCAGTGATCAACAGCATGAGCATCGGTCTACGCAAATGGGATACGATGACATGTGCCAACCACGTCAGTGAGCCTGACCAACGGATCGCGTTCGTCTCCTCTTACGACAAGCATGGGTTGCTGAAGACCAGTTCCATCCAGGACCTTCACGGGTCTTGAAGGACGAATGATGGGGCTCAGGCTGTTGTGAATTGGTCCACGGAACCTGCTTTTACAGAACCGGGTCCTAGTACACTATATAGACTAAATAGACTAGACAACCCCTGATTACCAGAAGGACAACATTGATAGGCAACAAGCAAAGCATTTGAAAACAATTCGCAAAAAATCCCTGAAGTTTTATTCAAATTACGGCAGTGGTTTAGCATTGTGGTTACAGCGTTCGCTTGTCTCGCCAGAAACTCACTAACTCTAACACATCTAAGTAATGACTGATAACACATGACACACATTCCACGACAACACTGAGGTAATGTGCATAATTTCTAAAGCTGGATATTTTTAACACCGCGCTCAGTAATATTTATGGGTGATTGTGAATAATCTACCCTGACAATCCGATTGTCTAGAGCTCATTATGTACAGACAGTCGCCGTATGGCTCGGATACTGTTATGGGATGTAATATTACAAAGCTGGGTTAACAATCATGGCTACATGGGTACACTTTACATGTCTTGCAAATGAAAACATAAACATAAACCAAGGCATCTCGTGATGTACTGAGCACTGACCTATCGGGCCGTCCAGTAATGTTTTACTAAAAACGTTTTTGTGTCAACCCGTGATAATAACCTGACAAGACATATATACTCACTTACCACCTAACGACGAATCATTGTTGTAGGTGTTCAATATTCAAAACTTACGGATCAGACCATTTGAATTTCCGGCGTCATATGTATTGTGGTCTGTCCCTATCTTACAAAACCTTATAACTTCACAAAACAACGAATCTACACAGATAGTATAACACACTAAAGTTCCTTTGTGTCACGTGATCTAAATGAAAGCCCGTCGCCAGGCAACTTGGACGGTATCCATGGCGCAAACCACACCAAATACCAGTTCTTGCCTAAGGCTTCGACAAGATTATGTTTTAGTCCTAGATTATAAGTGGAAATATTTTTCTTCCGTTCGTGCATCGTTTGTCCTTTGAATATCTGTATCACCTGGTTAATGAAGAGCCAGGCGAAACAATACGTGACGAGGAAGCCGACAGATGTCACGGAGGTAATGAATGACACGTACAAGCTTTCAAACCCAAACATGAATCCGACATGTGGAGCACAAAATGAAATGAGTCGCCAAAATGAAATTCCTCCTTTCACTTCGAGCACGAAGGACAGGTTGAAAATATTTCCATAGATCCCTGCTATCATCATATACGTTACCATGACAACGTAGTATCGGTAGTTATGGTAACCGATACAGTATCCAGAGAAAAAGCAGTGGTGGTCGCGTTTTAAGACACAGACGTTGCACAACTTGCAGTGATGAGATCTCGGGGGGTAGTTACAGACGCACACGTCACAGTAGCGCCACCCTTTGGGGGCGGGGCCGGTTGGCATGATGAGGCCCGACCCGCTGATGTCCGTTGTAGCAAGCATGAGCATGTTTCCATATATACTGGAAGAAAACACAGCCGCAAGTACACAGTGCACGTAAGCTGCAGTCGTCCATTCCGGGTAGAACGTCGGCAGGACGTGGAAGACCTCGTACCACAACGCAAACACTCCGCCGAAAGTAAACACACCCAGCGCGACTTGATCCCCACGCCTGGTCGGTAGTTTCCATCGCCTGACCATGATCGACAACTGTTATCGGCCTGTTGGTTACACTCACGCTAGTCTAAGGCATAAACGTTACTTCGGTCAGCTAAAAATGTCACCAGTTTGGTAAAGATCGGTCTGGACACGAACACGCGCGTGTAAACAAGTCGCTGTAACCTGGCTTCCGGGTAGCGGTTATGTCCCTTTCCTTTGCTGAATAATAGAGTAGCCTCCCTTTGAAAACTGTCGAAGCGGAAGTAAAATGTAAATTATCACGAAGTTATTAAATTCGCAAACGAGAAGCTACATACGTTGGTCAATCATACCCTATCATAAACCAGTTGATAACCAGCACAGATTAACTGGGATTTCAGCTTACGTTCATTTTAATGACAGTTATTCTTTTAAGCAAAAAAACAAAGCGCATACTTTCATATCGTGCTTCACAGGTTAGGGGCATGTAATTTTAGTACATCTACTTAAATGATTACACACGGACTATATACAGCTAGTCTGTCTCACAGTCCCTGAACCACATTATTTTCCCTACTGCCTAGCCCCCTCTGCAATATTAAAGCCCCAAATAAAGCAAGTCTAGATTTCCTCAGGTTCAGGTTCTGAATATCTGGTCTCCCTGGGGCTCCTTTTCAATATAAATTGGCTTGTTTGTTACTATCAAAATTATATATATTCAGAGACTAAGCCTTAGTCTAATATGCAACCTGTACTCTATCTTAAGCCAAATACTGGCTACATGGCGCGGTACCAGGGGGCAAGCAATGGTTCCGCCAAACAATGTTCAGGGTAGATCCCTCAGTGTCACCTGTATCCACACGTGGGAGGGGGTAGTGGTGCATGGAAACCCGTCGCTGTCTCAAGCTGGGTTCGAACTCGATCCCAAGATTCGTACTGAGCTAAATCTTAATTTATCTTGATCTTAACAGGTAACAGTGGGAATGTTACAATAGTTTTTCATACTACTTTTCTTTGTGTGCATTGCATATTTGATGACAAGGTACGTGCTTTTCGCTGTGTCCTATATGCTTTCGGGGTTTTTTCAGTAAAATCCTTTCCCAACGCATCTAAACCCCGCTGCATGCAAAAAAAAAGAGAGAAAAAAGACACATTCGCCTTGACATTCGAACAAAAAGCCCAATGTAAATTGTCAGGAAAAGTAGGTCCCCGTGTTGTTGATCAATGTATTGGAGTGTCTGGGAAATTAAACACATTAATCGGGTGGAGTGTCTGGGAAATTAAACACATTAATCGGGTGGTGAAGATACTGGGACTGAATGAATTGGCTGGTCAGGATAATTGACTGCATGAATCGGGTGGTCGAAATAATTTACTAATTGAATCGGGTGGTCAGGATCAATTTAACTGGATCGAGTGGTCAGGGCAATTGACTGATTGAATCGAGTGGTCAGGGCAATTGACTGATTGAATTGGGTGGTCAGTGTAAATGATTGAATAGGGTGGTCAGGGTAATTGACTGCATGAATCGAGTGGTCAGGGTAATTGACTGATTGAATCGGGTGGTCAGGGTAATGGACTGATTGAATCGGGTGGTCAGGGTAAATGATTGAATCGGGTGGTGTGTCTGGGAAATTAAACACATTAATCGGGTGGTGAAGTAAATAATTAACTAACTGAATCGGGTGGTCAGGATCAATTTAACTGGATCGAGTGGTCAGGGCAATTGACTGCATGAATCGAGTGGTCAGGGCAATTGACTGCATGAATCGGGTAGTCAGGATAATTCACTGATTGAATCCAGTGGTCAGGGTAAATGATTGAATCGGGTGGTCAGGGCAATTGACTGATTGAATCGGGTGGTCAGGTCAAATCACTGCATGAATCGGATGGTCAGGTTAATTGATTGAATCGGGTGGTCTAGGTAATGGAATGATTGAATCTGATGGTCAGGGTAAATGATTGAATCGGGTGCTCATGGTAATTGACTGAATGAATCGGGTAGTCAGGATAATTGACTGCATGAACCGAGTGGTCGGGGTAATTGACAGCATGAATCGGTTGGTAGGTGTAATCGACTGCATGAATCGGGTGGTCAGGGTAATTCACTGTATGAATCGGGTGATCAGGGCAATTGACTGCATGAATCAGGTGGTCAGAATAATTGACTGATTGAATCGGGTAGTCAGGTTAATTGCCTGCATGAATAGGGTGGTCAGGGTAAATGACTGATTGAATCGGGTGGTCGGGGTAATTGACTAATTGAATCGGGTAGTCAGGATAAATAATTGAATCGGGTGGTCATTGTAATTGACTGATTGATTCGGGTGGTCAGGGTAATTGGCTGATTGAATCGGGTGGTCAGGATAAATGATTGAATCGGGTGGTCATGGTAATTGACTGAATGAATCGGGTAGTCAGGATAATTGACTGCATGAACCGAGTGGTCGGGGTAATTGACAGCATGAATGGGTTGGTCAGGGTAATCGACTGCATGAATCGGGTGGTCAGGGTAATTCACTGTATGAATCGGGTGGTCAGGGCAATTGACTGCATGAATCGGGTGGTCAGAATAATTGACTGATTGAATCGGGTAGTCAGGTTAATTGCCTGCATGAATAGGGTGGTCAGGGTAAATGATTGAATCGAATTGTCAGAGCAATTGACTAATTGAATCTGGTGGTCAGGGTAATTGACTGATTGAATCGGGTGGTCGGGGTAATTGACTAATTGAATCGGGTAGTCAGGGTAAATGCATGAATCGGGTGGTCATTGTAATTGACTAATTGAATCGGGTGGTCAGGGTAATTGACTAATTGAATAGGGTGGTCAGGGTAATTGATTGAATCAGGTGGTCTGGGTAATTGACTGATTGAATGGGGTGGTCAGGGTAATTGACTGATTGAATCGGGTGGTCAGGGTAATTAACTGATTGAATCGGGTGGTCGGGGTCATTGACTTCATGAATCGGGTGGTGCTGGTAATTGAATGCATGAATCGTGTGGTCGGGGTAATTGACTGACTGAATCGGGTGGTCGGTGTAATTGACTGATTGAATCGGGTGGTCAGGGTAATTGGTTGATTTGTCAGTGTATTGCAACGGTCCGGTTGATGTGGTCTGGTCAAGACGCGATTAACATTCTATAATGATACCCTTTGTTAATCAACAAAAAAACAAATCGTTGTGTTAAATATTATCCTTAGCAAATGAAGAATAGAATTAAGCCAACAAGTTTGTGTCCTGTACGTTGCTATAGAGACCAGATGACAGATCCTGGAGAACGTTACACCCATCTATCATTCATACATTAGAGGACTCTGCTCAAACAAGGGTGGTGGGGTAGCCTAGTGGTTAAAGCGTCCGCTCGTCCCGCCGAACACTCGAGTTCGATTCCTCACATGGGTACAATGTGTGAAGCCAATTTCCGGTGTCCCCCGCCGTGATATTGCTGGAATATTGCTAAAAATGGCGTAAAAACAAACTCACTCACTCACACGTAACCTCCATCGACAACTAGACGATCAGAGTTGGTTGATGCGTGTAGGGGGCTACAAGATACACAAAGCCAAATGGTTTCCCATATACTTCATAGTAACGTTATATGTTCTTAAAAAATAACCAGGGCGTATCAAGCCATTACATGTCCATACATACACAGTATTGTCTTAGAGCTGCAATAAAGACACATTTGGACCAGGTTAAACCAATTCCTTTCCGAATACCGGAAGCTGAAGACACCAACTCCAGCTCCGCAGCATATGTCCTCGTGTTAAAATATCTGTGCACACATTCAGCATATGTCCTCGTGTTAAAATATCTGTGCACACATTCAGCATATGTCCTCGTGTTAAAATATCTGTGCACACATTCAGCATATGTCCTCGTGTTAAAATATCTGTGCACACATTCAGCATATGTCCTCGTGTTAAAATATCTGTGCACACATTCAGCATATGTCCTCGTGTTAAAATATCTGTGCACACATTCAACATATGTCCTCGTGTTGAAATATCTGTGCACACATTCAGCATAGGTCCTCGTGTTAAAATATCTGTGCACACATTCAGCATATGTCCTCGTGTTAAAATATCTGTGCACACATTCAGCATATGTCCTCGTGTTAAAATATCTGTGCACACATTCAGCATATGTCCTCGTGTTAAAATATCTGTGCACACATTCAGCATATGTCCTCGTGTTAAAATATCTGTGCACACATTCAGCATATGTCCTCGTGTTAAAATATCTGTGCACACATTCAGCATATGTCCTCGTGTTAAAATATCTGTGCACACATTCAGCATATGTCCTCGTGTTAAAATATCTGTGCACACATTCAGCATATGTCCTCGTGTTAAAATATCTGTGCACACATTCAGCATATGTCATCTACTTACAATATCTGTGCACACATTCAGCATATGTCATTTACTTACAATATCTGTGCACACATTCAGCATATGTCATCGTGTTTTAAAAGCCAGCAGTAGATATTTATAAATGTGGTCAGTTCTAATTACTGGAGTGAGTGAGTGAGTGAGTGAGTGAGTTTAGTTTTATCTCGTACTCAGCAATATTCCAGCTGTAAATAATCGTGTCAATCCAGTGATCAACAGCATGAGCATCCATGTACGCAATTTGGATACGATGGCATGTGTCAAGTCTGACCAACCGATCCCGTTAGTCACCTCTTTACTGGATGGATGTACATTTAAAAAACATGATTATCTTTCGTAATATCATCCAATCACAGCTGCCACATACCTCCATCAGAACTGAAGTTTATTTACGATACTCGCTCAGGGAGCAACTGATATTGAATTAGTGAAGTTGAACTTGTACCAGACTGCCATAGTAAACAGGGTTGAGATAAATTAGTGTCCGAAGCATCGCAGTTACCGATACCCAAGACGAACCGTCAGGCACGCATAGCTTGGTGTGGTCAGCATCAGGTGGTTTGTAGGTACAGTATAGCCTGCTATCTCCCTCCCTCCCTCACTGACGACCTCACTCACTCTCTGTCTCACTCACTCACTGACAGACTGACTCATTCATTGACTCGCTCACCAACCCACCCTCACTCACTTACGACCTCACTCACTCACTCTCTGTCTCACTCACTCACTCAGTCACTCACTAACTGGCGGACTCACTCACTCACTCACCAGCAAGTGGATGGACATATTTTCTATGTATCAAAGTACCTCAGCAATTT